GGGTCCAAGAGGCCAGTTCTCCCGTCACTGGGGCTATATCCGTACCCCATAGCCATATTCTCGACCTGAGTGGTGGACAGCGCCAACATTTTTAGCTGCCTCATCTCCTTCAACATGGCATTCGCTTCCTGAAGGAGCTGCTGAACTTCCCCATCCGGCACCTCAAGAGACTTGACAATTCCATCAGGTCCTGAACTTGTAGTAGACGAAACCTGAGGAGAAGGGAGCATAGCCGCGGCAATGGGCCCTGGTGCTGAGGTTGGAAAATTTCCAGATGCTCCTGTGCTTGGCGATGCAAATTGTGCCAACGATGGCGCCTTCGGAATTCCTCCCCTTGGCCTTTCCAGTTGGACTGCCCTCTGACTTGATAGGACATGTACTCTGCTGATGCTGAATGCTACCATAGGATCAGCATCGACCTTGCTTTTCTTTTCTAGTGAAGGCATGGGACCACGTACATGGCCTACCCTTAGAACAGCCAGCGTCAGATATGAAGAACTTGCAAGGCGTGGCGGCCTTCCCCTTCGGCTTTGGCTGGCTTGTAGGAGAGGTAGGTACTGGCGTCTGACGTAGACTTTGGAGGAGGAGGTGCAACAATAGTCCCAATAGACTTCTCGAACGGTACCTTTGAACTTTTTGCCGTAGAGCCCCGATACGCTATTTGCTCAAACTCTGAAACCAACGCCTGGCGCAGGTCCTTCACTCCCTTTTCAGTGGGGCATGCTGATCCGGAAGGCCACTTCAGGAGTATCGTGCAAAGGCTTCTGACACAAGGAATCTAGGCCACGAAGAAGAATACTTGGATCTGGGCGTTTGATGCCTAAATCAGTGGCCCTTGACATCTATCTTGACCATTTTCTCAAAGAAGACACTGCATCCGCTGCAATTGTGGCTTGAGGCGGGCTTTCCAAAGAAGCCAACACTTGTTGACGCTCCACAACTGAGCCGGGCCTGTAAAGAACAATAACTCGTGCCAAAATGGGCAAGATTCCGGGCAGCCTTGAAGTCAAGATCTCGTCACGAATTCCATCTGCAACACTGGAAAGTAACATGGACGCGGCACGTTTGTCCACCCTCGCCCATTTTGAGTCCTTCAGCTCTCCAGACGTATAATTTTCAGGTCGCAAGGAAAGCTTCCTCGCATACGAAGCCCTGGTATAGGCATCGTAATAAGCAACAAGGGATAATATAATTTCCTTCCCCCCCAGGCCGCTTCCATTCGAAAGATCTCCTATGTGATTTTGGAGTCCATGTAACCAGTCTCCAATATCGATAGCCGAATTTTCTGATAAATCAGCCAAGCGAGGAAGCTCAGATATTCCCGGCTTCATTATCTCAAGCTCCTTGGCCTTTATTCGAAGGGACTCGGAGACAGCGCTTTGCAGTTGAGTCATCCCTTGAATCAAAAGTCCAAGAGGATCAGGAAGACGGAACTGACCTCCTTCGTTGCTCGCTGACTTCGGACCACTCCCTTGAAAAAATCCTCCCGGACGACCATTCCCATCCTCGCCTTCTCGACTCCCAGCCTGAAGAGGCGGCTGCTGACCTTGCCCTCCATAGATTATATGAGGATACGAATTTGACCAGGCATAGATTGAAGTGCAGGAGCCCTAAGATATATCCCTGAACCTCTTATTGCGACCCGAAATTCCCCGCCATACCCATTTGGATCTTGATGCCTGCCAAGAGGATCCCCTTGATCAATAGGGGCCTGAATGTAAGGTCCAGGAGGATTGCCGCCACGTCTTTCATCAACCCTTGAAAGAACATTTCTCTGGGGTCCTGCTGGATTACCTTGACCATATCCTTCTTGGTGGCCAATCACCTGAGCACGATGACATTGGATTGTACGCTGCAAGACTTCCTTCAACTCTTTATTTTCAGCTTCTATCACAACCCGTTATTGGTTGAAGGATTGCATCTCCTTCGAAATTTGACGTTACACTTCTAAAAGGACCTGCTCCCTAGTCAAAGACCCCGAAGAGGAATCACTCTCTTGATGAGGGTGGGGACCATGAAATAATGGAGCTTGCCTTGCCCACTGCTGCATAGCATGCTCGGCCTCGGGAGTGAATAAGCCAGGCGATTGCCCATCAGACCAATTCCTGGGCAGAGGAAATAGAGGGGTTCTATTTGGGGCGCCGGCGGATCTCGTTATTCTAGATTCAAGGATTGGGGTCATCATCGCTCCAGCTTGACTCGCACGACGTTGAAGAAATTCTCCCTATCTCAATATCCATATAAGCTGCCCCTGAGTTCCGGAAATCCTTTCACCCTCTGGAGCTGGCAACTCTTCAGGAGGAGAAAAGGTTACCTCAGCAACATTCACTTGCTGATGAACATGCTCTACAATAGGTGCACGTTGAAGTCCTTCTGCTGCAGCGGCTGCTTGTTGGTATGCTAGAGGCTCAGGCTGTATTGCTTGCTCAAGCGGTGCGTGCATAGGTACTATTGAAATATGGTGTGCGTGCCGACCATCGTTCCCAGATACTCCGGTTCTCGCGTCCGATACGGTTGCCGACAAAAGATCTTCAAGACCCACGCCATTGACCAAGCCTGCCTAATACAAGACCGGATCCACAACTCCGTAAGAAGGACCACGGTCCTCCCCTTCTAGCAAAGTGCTGCGGAACTGGGCAGCCTGCTCACCTGGGTTCATAGCCTATTCTCGGAGATATCCCATCATGCCCTGTCGCCCACTACCTGAAGATCCAGCCTCCATGACCCTCAAAACAGCAGGAAAGCCCCTTTAGCGCATTAAAGTGCCTAAATGATTCGTATATGCTTGTTCCTATGGGCTCTGCACTGCTGATGCATGATCTCAAAGGCTCACGCCTCATATTGCTATGCAAGTAGCGCAACCTTCTCGCAAATTCCGGGCCCCTCCCCCGTGGCTACGAACTCTATTTCCAGATCCCAGAATCTCCCCAACTTCCATTCTAAATAATTCCGCCAAAAGCAAGTCCGCATCAATCGCCCTATATGCCACTCCAGACTGAGACGCGGCAGCGAGACCAATATCCATCCCTTCATCAATTTCTATAGCGCTCTACGAAGCCCTTTAATTCGAGAAATTATTTCGTCCTAGATAGGCAGGGAAATATCAAAATAATCTTTCTTAAGAGAAGAAAATCCACTATCAAGCAAGAAATTGCCCCCAAAGAAATCAAATTCCATAATTCCGACGGCAAATGCTACTCCATCACCCAAGTTCCAATCCCGAAAAGAAGAACCAATCTTCTCCAAATCTCCAGATTTCGCCGCCCAAATCGCAAATAAACAGAAATACAACCCTTAGATAATTTCCTACAGCAAATCGAGAAACGGCTTGACTCCTTAGAGAATATCCCGAAGCAAAGGAACAAATTCCCCTTCGATAAATCCCAAAATATTCCCGGATTGGCGCGCGCCAACAATAGAAGCCGCACACGAACGAAATTAATACAGACTAACGGCAAGAATCCAATATATTCTATCCCTCCGAAGTTTCGTCGTAAGCAACCCTCTGAGTTTCGTCGTAGGCAGCCCTCTGAAGAGGAAAATAAGAATGAAAACTAGGAGCGTTATTCCCAATAATCCAGCTTTGACGAGAAGCAAGAACACCAAACCCAATCTTCTCGGTTGTCTATCCCTCCTTCCGCCTTTTCGTCCGAATCGAAAGAATCATTTCTCCTGAAACCACTAGAGAAAGAAGAAATCTAGATAATAAATTTCATTCATAAATAATAAGATTAGATATCAGAGAATTAAGAATGAAAATTAATTAGATACGAAAAATCACGATTACGATATCCCGAAAGAATTCATATCAATAAATCTATCAAATAATCATATCGTCATAATAAATAATCCGCATATTTTTTAAATTCATTTACAACCAACGAGAAATCTTATAAATAATCAACAACTATATATCAAATCAATTTCGATCGACCCGAGAAAAAGAAGAATCTTCAACGACCTTTCTTTTCTAAACGATTTCATAATTAGACAAATAATACAGAATACTAAATCATCAAAAATAAGAAATCAATAAATTCAATGAAAAATAAATAATCAAATCGACGGTCTCATAAATCGACTAATTTAAATTATCAGAGAATGAAATCAAAATGACGGACCCAATTACAGAGAGATTGACAAATCAATACCTTAATTTCTATTCATCCCATTGAGCGAAGAAAATTCTGTAAAAGAATCTAGTCCCATTCTCGATCAAAAAATTCAAATTTCAAATCTCTTCATTTTTCCGAAGACCTTTAATTCAAGTCTCTTATCTTAATCAATAGCCTCGCCTTTTGATTATATTTGAGGTTTAATAACATTATTATCATTCAGAAAAATATCTTTATCATTTTAATTATACAAATATATTTCTTATTCGATATAATTCTTCAAATCGCCTTTAAATGTGCGTAATTTTTTTGATATGATTCGAGAAATCTTCATATTTCCAATAATATATTCGGAATAGATTAAATATTGGGCAGAATTAGATATATAAATGCCTATTGCAAGGCGATCCAGTCCATCTGATAATTCAGGTTAAAAATCCAAAGCTAGTATATTCAGAATCTAGATATAATAACGACTAATTATATTCCAAAATAATTCGAAATATAAATCTTCAAAATATCAAATTGTATCCTCTATCTGTAAATGGAATCTCCTGCGCATGGGAATTCAATAGAATAAATATATTGAATCTTTCTGTCCAATTGACGGCAACCAATATAAATCGTTTCTGTGCTAAATTAGCTCAACAGCTTTCAATCTGGCACGAACTTCGTAAACGACACCGGCCAACAAGTCTTAAATGAGTGGCTCATGAGCCGGAAGCGATAAGTAAATGACGGTCGTACTAGAATGGTTCCCAAGAGCTTGGAAGCAGGGGGAGCGCACCCAGTAATCTTCCCTCTTCTTCGTAAGTTGACTTAAGATTTTGCAAGAGCAGCCCCATAACAGCACTTCAAGACAAAAGCTGGAAGCCATTGCCGGGCCTAGCTGACCCAGGATGGTCGTGGCCTCGACTAGGTAAATTTGGAACACCAAAGGGAAACTGGGAATGAAAAAGGGCAAAACGGTTATGTCAGGTTGGGGTTTTGGGGGGGTTTGGGGCCAAGCGTGTCTACAACGGACCGATCAGGGAGTAGATGTACATGTCAGTCCTCTAGATCCTATTTTCATTGTCTCTTCTCTATCGCCATTCCACTGGTTCAAGAACGGTAGCCAAACGCTAGAAAAGGAGTGATGGCTGGAGTCTTTGCGTGGGTACTTTCGTAATTTGAGCTGGGACAAAATCCGCACGCGGAAACATAATTATAAGGGAACACTATAGCTTTGACATGGCTTGATTTTGCTGAGCGGCCGCAGGGGTTGTGATTGTCAAACGTCAGGCGAAATTTAATAGCACCGGCAAACATGGATAAGATGGATAACATGGATGACCGATACCAAAAACGTTGCCTAGAAATCAGTTCAACACCGGACAAAGTAACCGAACAAGTATTGTGCTCTTATACAGTTGAGCATATACTGCATTCAGAATGCGCTGCTCAGTCCGCGCACGGGTATGCGCAGTTTGCACAGGGCTTTATAGGAAGGTTTGTGTGGCAAAAGATGTATCGTAGAAGCAGGAAGCTGAGAGAATGCACTATGTGTACCAGTTCTTGACACGTTTCACCGCGAGAGGAGCATGAAGGTTCTCATTCGCGCCTGGGGACAACTAGCATTCGAGTCGTCAGAAAACAGGAAAATGCTGCAAAGAGCAAGCGGCGGCATCGGTTCGCAATGGACCCGCCAGGTTTCAGGGTCCAGGGCTCAGGGTTTGTGCCTGAGGGTCCAAGTTAATTGGAAGACGATTGTGTTATTCAGGTGCCCACTTCGTTTTTTTTCTGGTTGCGCGGCGGGTTGATATTGATGGCTGGATGTGTGCAAGAATGGAGTACACTGTATACTCTGCTTTGCGGAGGAACTGAAGCGATAACGAGAACGGACCGACTAAGAAGATTGACCTCTTGAGATTGTCTCCCAAGCATCAGCAGTGTCAAATACCTAAAGCCTTACGATAACCACCAGTACGTGTTAGAGCACTGTTGGTCTATGGGAAGTCGAATATGAGTTTGCATGTTGGTATAGTCCCCCTTAAGTAGCTAGAATATGGGCTTTGGTCATATTACAATAAGATCCCCATATACCCCATAATCTATCTACTTAAGGGAGACTATAAACAAACCCATGATTCATACTTGCTGAAAAAAAATCACGGCTTCGCCCTGGCATGAAGCACCCCGCACCCGCAACAGACTACATGTGCCGAAATATACAATGTCTCTTAAAGAAGTACTGGGTTTTAATTCTAGAAGTACTGGGTCTTAATTCTAGAGTGAACAGCTCATAGTAGGAATTTGGACAAACCTGCGCTTTTTGAAGCTATTTGGAATCTGTAGCGCATGCAGTCTTCGATGCATACCTCTTTAGCCCCACTTGTTATTACATATTGCTAACACCAAGCCCCAAAAGCCCGACCCGTGCCATCCCTAAACTGAGGTCCTCATTCCTACCTGGGAGTTCGTTAAACTAATGGCCCGTGTTTGGGCAGCACCAACTGTTAGGGCTGTATCATACCGGGGACCCAAACTATAATTTTGACAGCTAGGGAAAGCTCCTGAACGAGCGCCCCAAAGCCCAAAACCTCAAAACCCTACACACTACATGGGCTGCAGTCGACGCTCCTTCTACCACACGGCTTGGGCTTTAGGATTGCGGGTTTGCTTAGAATTCAAAATATACAGTTTGAAGGCCTTAGAGTTAAGTCCTAAACCCTAAACCACTCAAACACTTCAAACCCTGAACGGAGAGAGCTTTCAACTGAGGGCTTTTTGGGGGCAAAACACCAGGCGGGATCGCGGTGAGGAAACGAGGAGGAAGGGATCCGTCTGACAATCTGGTTTTGGGTTGTGAGGTCTTTCAATTTAAAGTTGGGGTTGTGGGGCAAGCCCTAAACCCTAAACCCCCTAAACCCTAAACCCTAGAGGGGTCAAGGTTTTAGGGCTGAGGGTTTGGGAGGTTGAGGTTGCAGAGTTGATTGTCTGGAGTCCCTGCATGTCCCTTCTGTTTCCCTTGAAATCCAAAACTGCATACCCCAAACCCCTAAATCCTACCATTAAACTTGTTATTGCTATTGTTATTGTTGTTCTTACTCTCCTGTTTCTTATGTAATGTCATCATTGTTATTATTATTCTTATTACTACTATCATTATTTTCTACTCTTACCATTATTAAGCCAACAGCCAGAAGGAGCCGTGCGAGCCGAGCGGCAAACTCTTCATGAGCGGTTTGGCGTCTGCTTCGCACCAGTGCCGAAAAGCGCCAACGAAAGTCTCCTGCGCCGAAACAATCTGGGACTTATAATTTAGGGCTCAGGCTGAAGGTCTCGGGTTCCCAAATAACTTTAAGGCTCAGGGCTCAGGGTCTAAGGTCCCAAACCCCTCCTCAAGAAGGCGGGAGCGCAAGGAGTACTCACATATGGGAGTGGGGAATGATTTGCAGTACCACTTTGCGGGCAGGGTCGAGCAACTCGAGACGCATGCACAATCACTTCCGTATCATGAGAATGGGTACTGCCCTGTGAACCCCAAGATAAGCAGATGATGAGACCAATGGACGGGCTTTTGCTTCATTTCGCGCCTCCAAAGAAAGCTGGTGATTATGAAGGCAACTTGGCATCAACTGAGTACCCTTTTTCTTTCGAGTCCTTACCTTGAGCTGACACGGCTTCCTGACCTCAACCCTCGATCTGAAAGTCTAGCACCTGTTGACTCCAAGGTGGAAAGTTGAGAGTCTACATGGGCCCATGAAGCTTCTACATGCGCTGACTCTCGTGCTAGCTCGCCTAGAACTGCAGACAATGCCTAAAATCAGTGGTTGTTGTCCCTATCTTGCGCTTCTCGGAGGCCACACTTTTGGTGTAAATGGGTTTCATATCTCGTGAATAAAAGGAATATGGACTTAATAGTAGTGGGGTACCAGGTAGTGGGGGTCCAAGGAGTTCCTAGGAGTAGATGAGCTATAGTCTAAACTCCTTAAAGGGGGTTATATAGGGGATGATATAGGGGACTACTACAGGGGTTACTAAGGGGGATACTAGGAGTTTAGACTATAGCTCATATGTGCTGATATTCGTGACGCCATCTTCGACATGCAAATTGTGAGTTCAGGCCGGCTTTCCAAAAACTTTTGCCTTCCCCCCAACTGTAACTAAGATGGACCCCAAGCAGGGCCTACAAAGACCTTCTGTCCTTCTGAAAGAAGCTAGAGGAAGAAGTTCGTTGGGGTAGGGTAAGGTAGAGAGCTTACGGGCCCGTAATCGACCAAAGCGAGCCACTTCAGAACGCTCTTTAGATAAGCTAACATGTGTGTGTGTGTGTGTGTGTTGTTGTTGGCTTGTGGGAGGAAATTTCAAATAAACCTAACATGCATATGTTACATGTCAAGTATGGAAATTCTACTTCAGGTAGTGGGGGTCCTGAGGGTCCCTAGGATATACAATTATGACACAACACCAAAGGTCCTTCAATCCTGAGACCATGAAGCCTTGGTGCAAGGCCCAGGGACCCAATGTCCCAAAGTCTCCGCAAGAACAAACAAATCCTACACCGTAAATTCTACCCTAAACCCCTAAACCCCTAAAGATTTAAGCTGCGCTCTGAAGACAAGCCTTTGACCCGAAACATCCCACTAGCTTAATCTACTACACTCCAAACAGCTCAACGCTCTTAACTTGTGGCCCTAAAGCCTCAAGCCCGAGTCCCTACACTCCAAAACCTTGAAGGTAAATCTCAAAACCTCAACCGCCCACCCCGCCCAACAACATCCTGGCCCTCTGGAGACTGCGAGCGTGCTCTGACGAGCCAAACGCCCAACAACTTAACCTCAGGTTTAAGCTTAAAGGTTTAGGATTTAACTCAGGGTTTAAGGGTTTATGGTTTAGGACTTATGCAGGCCTCCTTTGGCTTGCAAGAACAGCTCTGCAGTTCGTCCAACATGTTTGAGCAGGAATTGGCTTGGACTCCTTTGTGAGTAGGTGCATGCTGCTTCTCAAAATATGCGTGCCCTGGGAATCCACAACTACATGTGGATTCCAGAGAAATCCTCCGGCCGGTCTTTCGTAAGAAGGGCTTGTATGGGTTCCATGCCAATTTATGGGAGAGTAGGGTGTTTAGGCGTTTAGGGATTCTAAATATCTTCGGTTCAGCGTTTCGTTCCAAGATGTTCCAAGTATAACAACAAGTACGCTCGCATTGCACTCACCTAGACTGCTACTACCAAACCAATCAGTTTCTGTATCTTCATATGGTTCGTCTATTAGCTCTCCATGCGCGTAACCACAGAACATATTCCCGAACAACTGGTCCACACTCTCAAGGCACTCCGCCTATGAGAATTTTGGATCATCACACGAAGCCTCTCAGCATGAGGGCTTTCAACTCAGACGTACCCTCGTAAACGTGGTATGTATGTATATATATATATGGACTACGAAGAAACTATAGCGGTGACTCTTTCGAGCACTTCCCGCGTTGCCGTACGGCATATTGCACGGTTTGGCGTTCAGGGTTGAGGGTTAAAAGCAAGTCTTGCCATAACAGCCCCAGTCTCGGGTGATGCACTTGCCCTCCACTGCAGGCAGGAATACCTTGGAAGTTCATGGACCAGGCCTCGTAAATGGGAGTTTCTCAACAGGTGGGCATCTCAAACACCCCGTTTAGGGTTTAGAGTTTAGGGATGCAAGGGTCGCTTTCAAAAAAATTGGTCCCTCTGGAGGATTCTAGACAAGCAATCTCAAGCAACTACAAATTCGGCATGTTTCAATGTATTGCTAGCCACTGAGGGACTACAGTGAGCCGTCCGTCAGTAGCCGGAATTTATAAATTGTGCAGCCTACATGCGTTCACTTGTTTTCGCGTGCTTGCAAGGCTTTGTACGTATTTATAGGCATTCCAAGGAAGTTGCCGGACTATAATGGCGCGGTGCATGTATCAGAACTTGGGAGCTGGGAAATAAAGAGTTGGGGCAGGCAGCCAGTATGCACGCAGTTTCAGATGTTTTGCACCTGGCTTGAGACAAAACAGAGTACTTCGAAGCATGTGGAAGTACACTGAGCCAACTCGAGTGCGGGACGCATTGTAGGAAATCAGGCCGCGACCCATTTAGGGTTTAGGGTTTGAGGCGAAATGTTTAGGGATAAAAATGAAAGTAGAAAAAGCAATAATACCATTAATACCAATAACAAGCTACGGAAAGTTCGGGCTTAGGCCTTGGATAGCCATTGCCTGAGTGGTCTGCATTCTGGCTTGCGCTAGGGTAGAGTTTTAGGGATCCACCCAGTAGGACAAATGCCGAGGGGGCTCTTGCAAGGATGTTCTTGTCCCCTATGTAATACTTCTTCTCAGAAGGCCACCAAAGCGAGGCCTGCAATTCTGAGAAACCCCCCAAACATGAAGAGCTTTGGATAGAGTGCCTTCCTAATACATGGGCCTGCTAATGGGCCTGCACTCCTGATATTAATTAGATCTACAGAATTCACACACAAGCTTTCCTCTGATCAATTCATAGGGTTTTGGCTCAGATTTCGCCATCCTGCGCAAGGAAATAGCTTGCAAGCAGAGATCTCCCCAAATCTCTCCGGGCTGGGCCAAAAGCGCCTCAACCCGCATATCACTTAGGATCACACCCCTCACGCTGACAGCTCCTACTAAACACTGCATGAAGTCTTTCATGTTCATGCTCTCTGTTGCCCCTGTCGGGCATGAGAGATGAACGCAAAACATCAATACCAACGTCAGCATGTTTTCAACAAACGAAGTTGCTGACCGACAAAATCGCGGCTGCGCGAAAATAGAGAACTCTACAAATTTGTTTTGGCACTGCGCAAGGAATCCCTCGACACACACGCACAGTCTAAGGCTTTTGTCGTCCTGCGGTGCCCCACGCACCCAAAGCCCTATGCCCCAAGAGCCCATAATTCTAGACCTTCTAGGCTTGTATCCCTAAAACCCCAAACCATGGCGTCATCCCAGCAATCCAAAACCTAAATCCTAAGAAGCAACTGCGCTCTGAGATGCCCTCCGAGCCCAAAGCTGTGGTCCACGTCCTCTGGGAGCTGAAGATTGCTTTGGGTTTAGGGGTTGGGGGGTTCGAGGGGTTTGGGGTTTCAGGGGTCAGGGATTGGGAGGCTTAGGGGATTCAGGTTCAGGGTTTGGGGTTTAGACGTGGAGGGTTCTGATGTAGGGTCAACGGCTCAAGGTTTGAGGGGTTGAAGGTTTGGTGTTTAGGTCTGAGGGTTGGAGTTGGGATTTTAAGGTTAGGGTTGTGGGTTTTGGGTTAGTTTTAAGGTGTATAGTCGGGATTTTCGGGGTCTCTCAAAGTTGGGTCACCCTATACCACTCAAAAAAAACCGTGCCATGGGACATCAATTTGAGAAACATCCAAGAAGGCATTTGTTCACGGGCATGTACGAGGTGGTAATTGTCGCGGAGTTTGGTGCAGGGCTTGGATTCTCAAACATGGCGGTGTCTCAAATGTGAATATTTAACTTTCAAGATGAGACGTAAATTGCTGTAGAGAAGAAAGATCTTGATTTGGCGGTTGGAGAATCAATGGAGCCCGGTAAACTCCAAGCCCCCTTACCGAAGAGGCCTAAGACCCAAAGCCCTGAATTGTCCTCCACCAATTTCCTCCAGCGGTTAGTTGCGAAGTCCATTCTCTTGGGGGCAGGCATCGAGATGTTACTCCAGTGCGGAAGGTTCAGCCGGCTGGGCGTAAAGGAGGGATAGCCCTTCTCCTGGGTTTGCGGCTTGGGATCTGGGGCTCATGGGTAGGGCTTCAGGGTGCTGAGGGCAATGGTAATGCCTATGATTACGAAAGATCCGCCACAAATGATCCGAGCCTTGAGCAGATCATAACGCCCTCTTCGCGATGCCCCTACCAGTGAAGTTCTTTCTCTTTGGCTGTACTGGGCTGGCCTTCACAATCCAAACATGGACCACGGAAGTATCTCATAAGCGGATTGTAAGGTGTAGGGTGCCAGGGACTCCGGCTGGAGCTTGTAGCCGTATGCAAGCTCATACAGGCTGTGCTTGGCTAACGAGGATGTGTGCAGCAAAGGATATGAGATGGGTTAGCCCCAGTGTCAGAGGTCCTTACAAGTGCTCATGGGCTAAGGTTCGTTTTTCTGTTCCTGCCACACGGGGGAATGTGATCTTCAGGAACCATAATGTCCTAATGAAGAGCTGCTTTCGGCATCCTCGGTAGCGTAGTTCAGAGTCCAGCCCAGAATCCTATAACCCCTGCCTAGCGCTATTCCAACGTGCTAAAATCCATCATCTCTCTTGGCGTCTGTGAACTGGTTGGAAACTCCAGGCAACAGTTTATGGCTTAGGATTGAAGTGCCCAAGGCCTGGGGGAATTGTCATGATTGCTGTGATACTCAGATGAACATGTAAACAATAAGGAATATGACTCTTCCTGCTAGTCCACTATAGACCGAAGCCTTAACTTAGCAAGTCAAGTTACACATGCACACCCAGAGCCCGAAAACATGAAGCACCCAGCCGAAGCTAAATCCTGGGCCCAAGCATATCCTTGTCTGCAAGCCTTAAACTCTCAGTACTCACGACGTCCTCCCAACCCCCAGACTCTGCATCCTGTATCCCAAGACAGGACTGCCTATCCCCAAACCCCAAATATCAACCCTAAACCCGAATCCTAAACTTCCATGTGCAAAGTTCGGGAAGCAACCCACTTCTTCAGGAATAAAACTGATGGCTGCAAACTCCAACCCTGGACCCTGGCACTGCTTAACCTCACAATCTCTCCACATGCTTTGGAGATTCCACGAGACGTAGTACATCTGCAAGGGGCATTGATGTGATGATCAAACGAACTATAAAGGACAAGAACTGTAACTCTACCTGCAAATCCACTATGGACCGCCCTTTAAAGGACCCTAAATTCAAAACTCCAAATCCTAAAACCTAAACCTTTCCAAACCCTAAAAGCCAAACCCCTAAACCCTTAAAACCTAAACCCTTCAAAGCACTAAGCACGAAATGGAAACGTCCATGGCTCTGACCAGAGCTCGACGACCGGGCAATGCTGCCAGTAGCCTTTTAGGATTGTAGGGTTTAGGGAAACTTTTCTTAAGAAAAGGGGTTTAGGGCTAAGGGTTCTTTTTTAGCGCTTTTTTTTTCCTAAAAGTCGGGGTTATATAGGGACTCTATAGTACCTAATGGAAAAGAATGGAAGCTACCATATTACAATAGGGTAGATATTCGGGTGCTAAAAGAGATTTGGGGCTTAGGGTTACTAAGGGGACCCTACGATACCAATAACAATCAATCCCAACCTAAAAGCTAAACCCTCCAAAGCCTGAGCCCCACATGAGCTATTGTCTTATCGCCTAGTATCCCCCTTGATAACCCCTATACTCCTCCCCTACATACAGTCCCCTATATAACCCCCTGTAAGGAGCCTAGATGATAGCTCACATCTCTCAAATCAGCCGCAGTAGCCATCCAGGTCCCCGCGGCACTTTGGCCCGTCCAGAATCCCAAAGAGCTCTACCTTACTTCAAGGCCAGGGCTTAGGGCTTAGAGCTTAGGGTTTAGGGCTTGAGGTTTGGGGTTTAGGGTTCAGGGCTTGGGGTTTGGGGTTTAGGGTTTTGGGGGCTTTGGATCTGCGGTTCTTACTTGGCTACACCTTCAGCCCCGATCCCCAAATCCCGAAAACGCACTCCTCGACCCCCTGACTTTTTGACAACTAAGCCACTCGCAGAGACTTGAAGGGGGCATCGGGAGAGAACATGCTCCAGCGCCTCACTGCCGTCAATTGGGGTTTAGGGTTTAGGACTCAGTGTGTATGGTGTGGGGTTTAGGGCTTACTGTTCATGCTTTTTGAAGGGTGAGGGTTGCTCAAATTGTGGCATCCTGAGCATAAGTAGATAAAATGTGGGGTATATGGGGATCTTATTGTAATATACCCAAAGCCATATTCTAAACCCTAAACCGTAAACCCTACACCTTACATTTTTCTTAGGGGGACTATAAGTAGCACAAAGGGGGATTCTAACTTTTTGGGTCTAAATTTCGGTCCCCCTACTTAAGGCATCTATCATACCAATCCTGCACCCTAAGCCCTAAAGCCACCAAGGAGCTGATGTAGGGACAGCTTTCCAAGCAGCTTATCCTGAAGTATGAAGTCTGTGTAAAATCTTGGTTTCGGGTTTAGGGTTCAAGGTTTGAGGCGAAGGGCATTAGGTTGTGGGGCTTGGTACTTTGCATTGGGCAACAGGGTTCAGGATTAGGGAACCTGATTCTGTCTTGCAGGTTGCGGAAGGGCTTTACAGCGGTTACCTGAGGCCACGGTCTATGGCTGCATGATGCAATCTATGCTGCATGGGGGCTAGCATCCAAATAGGGATGTCTGTTGGACTGTTGCTTCTTTTCAGGATTGCGCTGCGACGACCTTGAGCAAGCTTCTGATAAGTCTTCAGAATTACCAATGCCCAAGCAAATATGAGACCGAATAAAGAAAAAAACACAGAAAGACAGATGTCATTGAAAAACTCATATATCAGGAGTTGCATGCATGTTTGGGCTGGGCTATTCTCTAAACTATCCTGAACTTCCCCCCTAACCAAGAGAAACTCTGTATTTCCATACCCTGGTTCTCGGCGGCTGGCGAGTACAGAGGATCTACCCACTGCCGCCTAGTTTTTGGAGAGCTGGGGCTCATTTGTTGGAGTTTGGGGGTCAGAGACTACAGGGAAAGAAGGAAACTTAGGTCAGTCTTCTTATTCGTATTTCTAAAACTGCGTTTGAAATGGCTATTGTGAATGCATGCTTGTTTTGAATCCTTAAATCTGCGTTTTTAAGGATTCAAAGGCTAGAGTAGTTAGGTTTGGAGGCTCGATCCGTGTGAGATTTTAACAAGCTGATTACGGATTGGAGTTCATGGTCTAGGGTCGAATTGAATGGCGATGGTCTATTGGGATCATGTTGCTTAGCCTGTATCGTTCAGAATGGCGTAGGAACCCGAAATCGTAGTCATCCGCGCGTCCCAACTTTGGGATTTCTGGACGCAGTCAACCCAGAAGTAGGGTTAGAAGATCCCTGACAGGCCAAAGGCCAAATATCAGGAATTTAATGTAAAGCGTTCCAGAAAGCATTCCAGAAGCGTTCCTAAAAAGAGTGGGGAAATGCATTCCAGATTTCAAGAGTGTTCCAAAAAGCGTTCCGAATTAATGGGTTGTTGATCTAGTCCAGCGCGTAGAAAGATAGCTACAGTAGCCTACTGTAGTTACAGTCCCACGCATCAAGCAAGCTGACACGAATGGCAAGGAGATTTTTTGTGATCAAGTCGTCCTTGATCCACGCATTCTTGTCGCGTGGCCCCGCTGTAGCCTAGCGAACTTGTGAGCAAGGCTCTTGCCTAGGCTTCGTCCACCATGGAACTGGTGAACGCCACAAGCTGTCCAAAAAGGTCTTTCGCCGTCACTCCCTACTTTTCGCTCACCAAACTCTTGGTGGATTTTGAGGACTGCGGTCTTTTGCTTGGCTCTGTTGTTGCTCTGGAGGCACACTGCCAAAATGGTCTCACGGTAGAAGACCCGCCGCGCCGTCAATGTGCCTGAGTGAGCATGGATACCTGTCCATTGCACGCCCGGAAGAGTGGACCACGGCTCTGCATCATCCAGAATGCCTTTCAACAACCGCAGCCTCCTCCTCCAGCGGTCCAGTCTCCAGGGTCGGCCTGGCAAGCAGGACCGTTTCTGGAATGCTTTTCGAGAAGCGCTTGGACGGGAGGCCTGGGATTGGAGCGCTTTTTTGGAATGCTTTTTGGAATGCTTTTTCCATGGAAAAACCATAATTTTCTAGGACTCCAGGATTTTTCGGCAAGGATGAAAGAGCATTCCAAAAAACGTTCCAAAAAGCGTTCCATTTAGCGCCGTCCCACCCACCCTGCCCGCTGCCCCCCAGACCCCTCCTCCACCCCCTTCCCACGCACCCCCCATCTCTCCCTGCCTCCCCGCACTGTTCCTCGGGCTTCTACAACGTGTTGCGCAAAAGACCTGGCCTCCATGCACCCCGCTTCTGAACAACAGCCGCAGACCATCTGGACTGCGCGTTTACCTGGAGCACGCCACCCTAACAGATGCGCCTTCAGAAGTGGGACCCACCACACAGACGGTTCCCTTTCGTCACAGATTCGGTTCTGCTAGCATCAGCTGTTTCTACAGCCTGGGAGTCATCTGAGCTCTGGGGCAGCAAGCCACTCAATTGGTCGTCCCATGTGAGTGCCATGAGCACAAGCACGGGATCCGTGATCTACGCTTTCTGAGGAATACCCGAGCAAGAGAGCTCGAGGGCATGCAGAAATAATGCAGTCTTTAGGTACGGCTAATGCACCGAAACCCAGGAACCCCACATAGTCGGCATATTTGACCCAAGACATATCCAAACCCCGAAGTTTAATACTGAGCTAAACATCCATCCCTTACGAACGGTAAACCCTTAATCATCCCACATCCATCCCAGCATCTAGCTTCGGCACGCGCTGAGCAGCGTGGAGCATTGGGCATTTCTCCGCCCGGTACCTGTAGGGGTTGAAGGGTTACTCAAACTTAGTGTTTCGGGTTTAAGGTTTGGGTTTTAAGGTTTAAGGTTTGGGGCTTAGTGTCTAAGGTTTGGGGTTTTTAAACTCTAGAGCCCATATAGCCTACTCCCCATCATCGAAACGCAGCATGAGTCCTCAGCCTGAAGTTTAACAAATAATATATTCTAGTATATTCTAGTATAATATATTATAGTATAGTATATTATCAAATACTACAACATAATATAGTGTAGTATATTATAATGTAAAATCATATAATATAATATAACATAGTATATTCTAATGTATTATAATATAAAATGGTAGAATGTTATGGCTCTAAGAATTGCTCCTGGCCACCTGCAGCCCTCCGAAAGCGTGGCCAGCATAATGCCGAAACCCAGCACCTTCTAGGGTCAAAGTGGTAGTTGCGGGAGGCTATATTTGGGGTTGAGGGTTTGGGGTTTAGGGGTTTAGGGGTTTCGGGTTTAGGGGTTAAGGGGTTTAGGGTCCTATCATATTCCTGGTATACCACAATTACAAGGCGGCTCCTCCTAATGTGTGTGGCATGCAGCTGTTTGCAGAACTTTTCCAGTAGCGCATGGGCTTCGGGTCTTGTGTTAGCGAGATGGTGGCAGATTCATAGCAACAAACGTAGCAGAGCTGGCAGACGTGCTTTGCAATTCAACTAGTGACTAGTGCAGGTAAGGCCCTTTAATTATAGGGATGTAGAACCCCAACCCTAAACCCTGAACCATGGATAGTAGTTTCCATTTCTTTTCCATTATGCCTATATAACCCTATATTCTACCCCTTTAATTGTTGGGATGTGGAGCCCCAAGTAAACTCTACGGCAGCGCTGCTGCGGGATTCACAAAAGCAAATGGACAATAAAGCATATTATGGTTATATAGGGACAATGGAAAAGAAAATAGAAACCACTACTTAGGGCTTCAAGGGTTTTAGGATGAAAAATCCTAAGCGTATAGTCCCCCTTAAGTAGATAGAATATGGGGTATATGGGGATCCTATTATAATATACCCAAAGCCATATTCTATCTACTTAAGGGGGACTATAGATCCCTAAAGCAGTCAACCCAACCCTGAAACTTTGAATTCTGGCATACTCTTGTATCATAGTCACCAAGTTCCGAAACAACCCCAGCCCCCGAACATCACAAACCCTACGCTTGCACCCGAAATCCCAAAGCCATGCTTCAACCCTGGGTTCTGGGGCCAAAGCGCCAAAATTCCTCGACTCCAAACTCTAAATTCGAGTCCTGGGACATTTGGTGATTAGGTATAATATAGAGGTAGAATATAGGGTTATATAGATGTAGTAGAAAAGAAAATGGAACCTACTATTTAGGGTATAGGTTTGACGGTTTGGGGTCTGACATTCCTAAATCATCAATGCTTACACCACCCAAGCACAATCTGGGTTGCTGCTGAGGAATATAAGTATAGAACAAGTAGTAAGGTTTCCTTGTTATAGTAACGTACCCCCAAAGCTTAAATCCTAAATAATATGATAGCTTCCTTTGAGTTTCTTCGCAGCAGCCCAGGAACACTCCTACCGGGGGGCAGACCCCAGACCCCAAACCCCTATACTCTAGTCTCCTTACTACAAATAGTATTTTCTGATAATCCCTTGGGGTTCTACTATAACAGAAATTAGAAACAATTCCTAAGGAGACTACAGTATATAATGACTCACCTGGAGGCAGCCATGAAAAGTGTTCTGCATTCTGGGCTTGGCAGCTGCGCGAGGGCTCAGCCTGATTGCGTTCACAAGGACGGGTGGAGAAAGGAATATAAACTTAGGGTTTATAGGGTTGAGGGTTTTTTAGGGTTTAGGGCTTAGGATGTAGGAGGTAGCATTGTAATGGAGTGCACATGGGTTTAGGGTTTAGGCGGGAAGTTTCCAGGATTTTTTCGGTAACCCCGACCCTACAATATTCGAACCCTATTAGGGTCACGAGATGGTTCTAGGGTGCAATTGTAAGGGTTGTGGTGCCAAAAATCCCGTCTGTGGGACTTTGAAAAAAGTAGAATTGAGGGTTTCCCAAGATTAGTGGTACCCTTTTGGGGAGTCCAGTCCCTATAGTAAGGACTATAGTATTTGGAGGTCCATATTGGGGTCGCCCTATTTTGTGAAACTACCAATTTAAAGGTTCTTGCAGGGATCGGCTCCGCCAGCCCGTAAGCTATCTGGGTTATATACGGATTTTACAGGGGTTATATAGGGATTGTATAGGGGTTATATAGGGATCATATGGGCTTATATAGGGGTTGAAACGTAGCAACATGGTAGGTTTGGCGGCTTTAAGGGTTTTAGAGTCTGAGGTGTGGTGCTTGCGGTTTCTGGTTTAGTGCTGTGATTTACCCCGTAAATCCTGTTGATCCCCCCTCGCGCATGCAACAATCTGGCAAATAAATTCCAGAATAGTGTTGTAACATGGTAACAGGGACTATTTGTTATTGACGGGACGAGGGGAGATTTCCTCGGGACGTGATTAGCTCTATATGGCAAACCGTAATTTGTTACTTTCCATCAATAGATGATTCCCTTGTAGACCTCCATCTACCCTTGCTAGAAGCGAGCCCCAATCTTGGCAAACCCCCCGCACATCGAAAAAAGGTAGAAAGGCTGCCCAAGAGTCATCTCTACCCTAAAACTAAAACCCTAAATCCAAAATCGTTGCCGCCAAGCTCCTTGCCTGTCCCCCCAATCTCTACAGCTTAATGCTCACCAAACACCCTGGAACATCTCTCGAAACCTACGCATCCGGAAGACCTATATGATCCTGAAGGGCAACCAAGCAACACTCGAGCTGCACTAGGGCAACTGCGCGCAAGCCTGGCCTCACTGAATTTCACGGGAACCAGGAATGAGGGTTGAGGATTTGGAGGGACTTCGGTTGGTGGAAGTAGACGCCAGAAGGAGAAGAGAAGGAGGATTACGAGGAGGTCGCAATGGTGGCACGTAATGCTTTGGTGATCTTGATGGGGTGCACGACATTGGGAACGGGGATTCGGGGCTTCGGCCGCCTAATCAGGCCATCATGCAGACCTCACACAAGCACCAAAGCAGATAGTAACAAGCTTAGGGGTGTAGCCTCACGTGTTCGGGGTTCAGTGGCTAAGGTTTCCGACTGGGGTTGAGGGTTGAATGACTTACGGCCCTAAAGCTGAAACCCTGCCCAATGCCCTTGCCGCTGCCCCTATTAAATTCCTTGATCCCAATCAGGCCCAATCCCTGAACCCAAACCCTAAAGCCTAAATCCTAATCCCAAAACCCTTAATCCCAATCCCTAAACCCAAAATCCTAATCCCTAAGCCCTCAATGCCTCAGCCCAGCCTCCATAAAGTCCAATGCTCCTCGGGGCAGTGACACCAGCCAGCCACCTTGGCCAATTGAGTTTTTCTGGGTTGCTGCTTAAAATTAGGGGTACCTGAAAGGGGATATATAGGGATTGACAGGGGCTTAGGATATACTCCCCTTAAGTAGATAGAAAGTTGGGGTAGTGTTAGGGTTATATTGGGGTAATATCGGGATAATGGAAAAGAAAATGAAAATTACTACATCAGGGATCATAGCGGTGGGGATACATAGGGATTCTATGGGATATCTAAGGTTTGCGGGTACGTCAAAGGGGTTATATAGGGTTTGTAGGGGGATATATAGGGTTTAGGGTTGCTGGATTGCTGCTAAGGAATTTAAATTAGATCACAAGAATGGGTTCCCTTGAAAAGGGTATGCCAGGACCAGGACTATGAGGGGGCTATCTAAGGAGTAGGGTGAAATAACTTGGCATAAGGTGAATTATATACTAGGATTTCATTATTCCAGTAATTTGATTGAAGCTCCTCCGCAACAATCCATTTTTTGTGTTGTCAAGGGCGTCCAATTGTGCGACCATGCGCTGGAAAACAACTCGCGGCGCGTGAGCGCATCTGCGAAGGTTTCGCGGACTAGGGCTTCTGATCGGCGGTTGACCCTAGAATCCCTATACAACCCCTATACAGTCCCTATAATCCCTGTAGTTTCCCATAATATTCCTGAACTTGATGAAGCACGGTTTAGGTCCTTAGGTGTTTCTAATTTAGGGTTCCGACATGCAGAGGAATGATCCAACATCAGCTAAGGCCCTAAAGGCCAAGGCCTACATGACCACCCAAGGAAAACATAGGAAACTCAAACCACCTGTCACATATGAGCTATAGTCTAAACTCCTAGTATCTCCCTTATAATCCCCTCTTTGTATACCCTCCTTTTAGTGAGATTAGGCCATGGCTCATACGAGATAATGTAGCCTCCTACTAAAAAATCAGAAGGGCTCAGGTAAGGAAACAATGAAATACCCCAAACCTGAAGCCCAAATAAGGCCAACCACTTCCATGAACCCTGACCTTAAACCCTACGCCGAAAACCTAGACCCTTCCAGGCCTAAGAATCTACGAGTCCTACACCCTATACATCCCCCAGCCTTCAACGGCATTTCATATCCTGAGAACCCTATCAAGGGGTCATCCAAAAAATGATCTAGGTTACCAACCCCAAAATGAGCCACTGCAGTGAGCATGCGTGAGAAGCGTACGCTGCATGGGATTCGCGGAATCGGCAGGCCGGGCTCAGAATAACAAGCCCCAAGATTTTCCAAGCTGTGCCCCAGCCCTGTTTGCCTGGCCTGGTCGATGCGGTCCATGCCAAACTGTCTGGAGCATCTGGATCGCCGTCCGCGATGAGGGTGGCAATTAATCATTCAACATTCAAACAGGTTGCAAGGGTCTCACTGGCAACAAGTGGCCAAGAAAGTCTTCGCTGGGTGAACTGCCGAATAGCCCTGCCTCCAAGTCCTGGACATCTGTTCGAATGGAGAAATTCCGCAGGATGGGATGATCCCGTCATTTGCAAAAAAGCCTAATGCACGAGTTTAAAGAGTCCGAGGTTGGAGGGGCGCAGACTCAAACACTATCACAAGATACTTATAAGTCCTCACTTTAGAGGTTTTAAAATCCTAAACGCTAAGCCTTTTGATCGGTAGGGTTTGGGGCTGAGGCTTTAGGGCTAAGCGCACTGGTGCTTAAGGGATAGTGGGGGAGTTGATCCCCATGGTAATCCTTATATGATCCCCAAATATACCACTACAATGGCACGTAAACCTTAAACACTTCACCCCTAAACCCTCATAATGGTACCTATCTCCACTCCCCCCCTCCGCCTTAAGCAGGATCCTAATCCGTAAAAAAACCTTATATCATGTATTCCCTTATTCCCTACTAACTAACCCCCAGTAAGTCACCCAAACCCTCAACCCTAAACCACCAAACCTTAAACCAGACAACACTAAACCCTAAACCCCAAACCACTAAACCCTGCACGCTCAACCACTACATTCTAAACCACTAAACCCTCTACCCTAGACCACTAAACTCTGCACCCTAAACCCTACGCACAAACCACTAAACCCTACACCCTCAAGCCCATGATAAATGTAAATTGTATATTCGCACGTGTTATACAGAGTTTAAGTAAATTCAGCTTTTGGCCATGTTTGGCGGCCCGAGAATCGTCCATTTTCGTCAAGAATTATTGCTTTTTTCGGGACTCCCAAACCCACAAATGTGGGCTCCGGAGCCTAAGGTCTTTCTCAAGGATTTTTTCTTGGCATTTTTGACCATTTGTGGCGGCCCGCCGATTTTAGTCAAAAATGATCATCTTAGGGCCCCCAAGCCCCCACAAGGGCCTCCTTAGAGATTGCTTCCAAAATTCCAAAATGGTCAGAATTGATGACCAGAACAGCCTCCAAAAGATAAACGGGAAAAAACATAATTTCCAAGAGGCCAAAACGGTTTCCAAAAGGCCTGGCTAAAACAGCTCCCGCAAGGCCAAAATGGCTTCCAAGGCTTTTGAAAAGCTAAAACGGTCTCCAGAATGCTTTCCAAAAAGCAAAAAAGTTTCCAAAAAGCCAAAGATGGCTTCCAAAGGCCAAAATGGTTTCCAAAGCCAAGGCGGCTTCCGAAAGGCCAAAAAGATCAAAAACGGCTTCCAAATGACCAAAATGGAGTATTCGAAAGGGCAACATGAATTCCCAAATGCAAAAACCGCCTCCAAAAGGCAAAAATGATTCCTAAAGGGCACAACGGCTTCCCCCCCTAGAGGTCGAGGGGTGGTGCCTTCAGCTTCAGGCATTACCCCACATGCCGAGGGGATACTGTTCGAGCATTCGCAACCACAAGGGGATCAGCTGAAATTGCTGCGTGATTGGTTCGACCACCCTGCCCCCCATGCCCCATCTCTGAGCTAGTGTCCCCAGCTTAGTACCTTTGTAAGTGATCGCAGAGGGAAGAGCTTCTGTTCCTGTGAAGTGGGCTGTCTTGCCAAGTGACCAATTCCAACCCAAGCCGCCTGGCTTGGGGGGGCGGGCCCATGGAGGTTCGGTTGGCACACCCTGCCCTGTAATACCCCCGCTCGGATTGAGGGTTCCGGAGTGTTGAACTCTGTCAAGTTTCCGTAGGCCGGAGGGCACCCCAGGTCGAAACTCACAACGGCTTCCAAAAGGCCAACATGGTTCCCAACAGGAAAAACGGCTTCGAACAGGCCAAAATGACTTCTATTTTGGCTGGGTTCCCGTCTTCTTATATGACAACTCTAATCGGTTTCCCGCTCTCTTTTTGTTTTGGCCTTCTGGAGCAAAAGCAAAAACAAAAACTGTTTTCGGTCGGGTTCCCGTCTTCTAGTGGGACAAGAGAAGGAGGGGAACCCGACCTGAGCAATCCCGAACCCCAAACCCTATACAATTTCAATAAACCCTAAATCCTAAACTACTAGATCCTAAACCACTAACTCACTAAACCCAAAACTCTCAACCCTCAACTGTAAACCCTAAAGGCTTAACAGCGGCTCATGGCGAAAAGCTGGAAATTGCCCACGCGCAGGGCCAGGTTCATACCGAAATGGAGGCCGAAGAACAAGCAGAAAGCAACCTGAATTGGTTCAGTGTATCAGGGTTTCAGGGTTTGGGGTTTAGAGAGATAAGGGTTTCAGGGTTTGAAGGTTTGGGGTTTCGGGGTCTAGGGTTTCAAGGTTTGGGGTTTCAGGGTTTGGAGCTTAGGGATCTTGAGCGAAGTTGGTTTCAACTATCTTGGGCTCAGATACACATGAAACGTGAAATGTTCTCCAACAACAACCAAATGAAGAGGACCCTTTGCAGAGGTTTTTGGATGACATGCAGAGCTTACTTCTGTTTAGGGGTCTTGCGGATGTGTATAGGGGGTTAAGGTTTAAATGTCACAGGGTTTAGGGTCAAGGGTTTGTAGGCCTTATTAAAGGCTTTGGGTTTGAGAGCGGATTGGGATATTAAGGCTTAGTCATGATCTGGAACACCTTGAGTTCAAGTTTAGGATTTCCTCGTACCCACTGGCGGAACAGGCAGAATGCAGCCTCCACTTCCTCAAAGGCTCCACCCTGAACCCCAAACCCAAAAGCGCGTGGCTGAGGCGGACCACTGGGTAGTAGATGCTGGGAGCTAGGTAGCCCTGAACGTTTCCTTTCAATCCTGAGCCATGCAACACCAAACTCTCCGTGCCATTCCAGGCAACAGCACGCGCGGACTGATAAGGCAAGAACGCCAGCATCCAGGCATACTTTTCAACCTTGCATAGCTCGTAGGTGGACTATAAGGGATAATGGTAATTACATTGCGGTCTTCTTATACTCCTAGTGCAAGTATACTACTATTATTAGGTGGACTATGAGGGATAATGGTAATTCCATTAGGGCTCTCTTAGATTCGTTTCAGACATTTCCATATTTTGGAGGTTGCTAAGAATCAGGAGTCCCTTCTTGTTTGGCTCACATGATGGCTACGTGACACTTAGGACCCTACTAAAGGTTAACCCATTAGATACCTATAATAGGAGTACAAGGGAATCCCAAAGGGTTTAGGGTTAAGGGTCTAAGCTGCAAGCTACGACCCAAGGAGATTGGCCTAGCATCTATGGCTCCGAGAGTTTTGCAGGATCCAAAGGATGATACGCCGCATGCCTTTGGTTGTAGGGTCCCAGCACCACATTCCGCACATCATGCTGGACTGCTATCATGGGAATGTTCGGGGGGAAAGAATTCGGCATAAGGGGATCGATAATTGCCGAAATTGCCTGCCAAGGCACATACCAAGTGGAGTGTGTCAGTAGCCGGCAGAGTCCAGGAAACATTGCGAGTATGCCTGTAAAGATCTAGCAGCTCTGCGTTGACATGGATCCTAAGCCCCTAAAATTTGGGGTTCAGGGTTTAGGGTCGTGTTTGGCGATGGAGAAGCATGTACACTCCCACTAGAAACTTTGAAGGGGACGTCTAGCGGTTCCTGCTACAGTAAACAGGCTTTTGCATCTAGGATTTTTGCAGCGCACGCACAGTTTGCTCCTTCGCCTACGCACGGAAGAGGAGACACGAAAAGAGCCTCGCGTATAGACCTTCTGCTTACTAGGTGTTCGCAGGGAATAAGGGAATAGAACCCCTGTATCATCCTGGTAAAATATCTTCCCTTATTCCCCTCTATAACCCAACAAACAGAACGATATAATGTGGTAGTTTCCATCTCCTTTTCCATTATCCCTATATGACCCCTATATATTCCTCCAGTAAGTCTAAATGGACAGCTGTCCTACGGACCCCATTTGCTGATTGTAATGATCATGGGTTCTTAAAACACCCCCCCATCTACCCCGCCCCCCCGATGTACCCCTTGAGCCCTATCTACAAGCAATTCATTCAAGGGGAACGTTGTGTTATAGCATAGAGGGAGATACTGTCGACTTCAGATTATGGGGGCTCGACCCTCGTTGAGAAAATGCCGCCGCCGGAGCACAATCATAACAAGACCCACGAGAATACTATTCCGGCGAAGTACACATTTCTTATGTTTTTACAATTAGATGTTAACTGATTCTATACTATAGATTTTCCAACCTACATTTTGGGCATTATTATTCTGGGGGGCCCCCAAAATGGAGATAGATAGATCCAGGGGAGGCTGTATGATGCGAAGTCAGCATTAGGTAGCCTATGAACTGATGCTTCTTGACACAAATGTCGTGTTCCATTAGACAACCGTACTGCAATTGCTTCACACGGGTAGAATAGGCAGAACCCTATAGCACGAGTATTTAAGAAGCTGAGGTCAATGAAGAGTTAATGTCCTTTGGGGAGTGGCGGATCTCCACAGGCATCAGGCTAACAAATCAAGACCGTTTTGTAGAAACATCTTATGCCCAGAAACTCGCAATATCCAACCTGCGAATCCCCTAATGACTCAGACCCTAAATCTCTAGACCCTAGGCCCCTGAAGTCGATTGGGTGTTGCCTGCCATTGGTTCACCTAGGCTTCTCCAAGGAGAGAAACTTGCAGGGTTGGCATTCAGGGATTCAGGCATCCAGGCACGTGGGCGCGCAGGATTTAGGGCTCGTACAAAAAAAGCATGGTTTAATGTTCAAGGATTTCAGAACGATCCGGTGCACCTTTCAGGCAATGTAGATTTCTAGATCTCAGGGCTTCAGGTGTAGTTTAAGGTATAGGAATAGCCTGAGGGATTGGAGCAGTGTAGATTCTTGATGCGGTTGTCGGGGTTTGCCAATGATCTTGGAAAGTTTCTGCGGAGCTACAATGATGTGATGCTAGGGCGGTTTAGGCGTTAAGGTTTAGGGCATAGGGATTCCCTAAATCCTAAACCCTACATTTTATTCTGCTGGCTTTAGAGCTTGGGGCCTGGGGTATAGGGTATGGCACTTAAGTCAGGATAGCGTACACGTCATAACGATCCCGATTAAGCCTGTGCCTTGCGGCTTACCATACCCACGAATACTTGTTTAGAGGACTATCAGCATGAGGTGGGAGCTGAGCCCAGGACATAAGCTTGCGGTTTACAGGCACTTTTTTTTGACTAATTCAAATGTATAGTCCCTCTTAAATAGATGGAATATGGCTTTGGTTATATTATAATCAGATCCCCATATGCCCCATATTCTATCTGCTTAAGGGGGAATATATTCTGTACCGGGTTGTGGCCTTCCGTACACATGTTAGGCTTGCTGAGGAGACTGGCGCAATAATCTTCAAACCGCAGGCCCTGAACCCTAAAGCTCAAACTTGAAACCACCAAGACTGACACTGAAACACCCCAATCCTCAAGCCCGAAGCCCTCTCCCTCGACCGTGAACCCTAACAACCACTTGAAAGCAAGCGCGCCTTCCCTCTGGCTCAGTACGCCTCTTCTCCGAACTAATTACCGCGAAAATGTCCAAAACCCTACAACCCCTACAAACCCTTAAAATGGGTCTCAAAAACCCTTACATCCCGCAAGCCCCTGAACCCTAAACCCTCCGGGAAAACTTTACCTCGAGGCCCAGGCGCGAGCAAACTGTCGCAAGTGCAGTGTGTGAATCACCGCGCTACCATCCCGCCACGTAGGCCCGACCTGCGTCCCAAAGGATTTTTGAGCTCACCCCCCAAAAATGGAAATCAAATGGAAAAGAACGTGGAACATCACATGGAAGCTGAGTTTCTATAGGGGCTTAGATGGGTAGTGCATTCTTAAACTTACTGGCTCAGAAAAGATCCCCAAAGCCAAATGGGGTTCTTGAAGATCACGGGCTTCTTGTTCTTCAGCAACTCTTTTGATATGTTTTTGTTCACGTGCAGACTGCTGGTCTAGTGTCCGAACATTGCGGACGCTCCGTGTTTTGAGCCATGGTTTATTAGAGGGTTTGGGGTTGAAAGCTTACCCTAAACCCTAGAACCCTGAGCCCCAGAACCCCAAACCCTACGTGAGAGCTTCAAGGCGTGCGTGAAGTGAGTGAGGCATCATGTCACATAACCAGTTCACACTCCCAGGGTTGGGAAGCCCCAAGCACTAAGGGATTTTGGGTCTAGGGTATGGGGCGATAATGGAAAAATGGAAACTACTATTTAAGGTTTAGGGTACCCTTTTTGGGGTTTCCACAAAGGAGGTAGTATAAGGGTTGTAGTATTTGGTGGTCCATACTGGGGTCACTGATGGGTTCGATGTTTAGCCACACCCTAAATTCGCAACATTCAAACAAACATCATATCGCAGCTCCCTTTCATTTTCCGTGTTCTTTTCCATTTGGTTATTCATTTGATGCATAATCCCCCTTTACGGAGTTGAGTCTATAGCTCCTACTTATGAGATCTCCCAGGATTCATGATTCAGGCCGGGCGAAGTCTTTTCGTTTTTAAGCTCAGGGGCTAAGCTTTCAGTTTAAGGTCTTGACTTTAGGGGCCCTGGGTTCAGTGTCTAGCGCTTCGGATTCAGATTCCTAGACGATGGGTTATGTAAATAAGTGAGGATTCAGGATTTTGTGTTTAGGCTTGAGGCACTTGTTGAAGGACTGTGCTCGCTGTAAGGCCAATAAAGCTTTGCAACACCATTAGTTTTCATGTGTTGGCCACTTGGATGCAGCTCTATTAATCCTCCCCTCCTCATAATCATAGTACCCCTCTAACTCCCCTGATCATGCATACTCGCAATATTGTTTCATCATATACAGTAAAACCCTGGACCCTAAAGCCTGAGTACAGACTATGCATTATTCACCATGCTTCAGGGAGGTGGTGGGGTCTATTACAAGGGAAGGGCATTGTTTAGTCTCATGCAAAGACGTCGACGGGATCATACAATCTCATACAATGTTTTTGAGCACAGATGGGGTCATGGATGCAGACTATGACTTTATACAGCTCATTTAAAAGGAAAAGCTACCAGATCCAGTCTGATCAAGTGTTGCTGAGAGGCCTCAAAGCTTACCCACATCTCCGAATCCACAGAATACTTGCCCTTTTTTGTCATTATTTTGGGATTAACGGCTCTTATTATAGGTGTTGAGGAGATCCCGGTGGTTGTTTCCACAAATAGGGGAACCCAAATATAGATCCCAATGTAGTGTACTCCCTTTTCTGGGGTAACCC